GAAAGGTTTTGTGCATTCTAATAATCTCACAGTGAATGCCACTTTCAGGGGACGGTGACTACTAATTATGTGAAGAGCTAGCACTCCCTTATAATACCTGTGAAATGTGCTGACTCCAATTGGCTTTTGACACAGTATCATTTCCCTTCAATTTGTCAGACAGTACAGTGGGATACAGTGCATAAGAGCTTGACGCGGTCTACGTGGAGGCCGATTGTCACACAACTGAAACACTTCGATCGCACCGACTGCAAGTAACTACTTGGACAGTCGTCGGAGATAGTGAAAGGCCCTGACTTTCGTTGTGTGCAGATTCTGAGAGAACAGCGGTACGCTCTGCCGGAGCACAAGCTCTAGTACAGATGCATTGTTCGCAAGTTCGCTCTCGCCAGTAGGATGGCTCCCTCTACAAACCAACCGCAGCAGCTACCAGTATGTTTGCGTAAACATGATGCTGATGCGAAAGAGCAGAGTGATTTTGATGGGATAGAAACAGTAAATATCCAAATGTTTGTAAACCTCTTCTTGCGCTTCTTTGCATCCATCTCTCAGGCTCATATCACAGCTACTCCTCTTGACATCCAGGTCAGTCTTCCTAGAGCCAATATGAACTGCGTGCGAAGGACGTGTGCACATTCAATGGTTTTCGGCTACGAGGGCACCATAACACAGCACTGCTGTGACAGAGGTAGGTCCAAATTGTCATCCGCTCCGATTTTTCGAGCTCCTTCTTCTGATTGCAAAGGTATTTAAACATTAGGAAGTTTCGTCTTCGTGTGGAATTTTGAGAACAGGGGTGCACTACATGACTGCTGCTTCAAATAGGTTAGTCATGCTACGCTGCCTATATTCTAGGCACTCAAATTGAAGTTAGGTGAACGCGTTTGAATAAATAGGGTATTTAGGTAAAAACTTGCTTTCAATTCTTCTGACCCTTGACCAATATTGGGCACTCTGATATCGACATGCTATTCCTATCACTGGAACTCGGCGAAATTCGGTATTAGGTGCCAGTCACTGCTTTTTGTTTGATACTCCTCAACAACACAATTTTTCAGGACAGCGCTTTGCTAATGGAAGCGTTCTTAGACGCAGGCAATAGAACTCATATTTCGGTGTAATTTGACAGGCACATTCGTCAGCTTGCAAGTGATTG